TCAATTAACTTGCTTTGTCTAACCCCAGCTTTAAGAGAAGATAATGATTTTTTTCTCTGAATACTTCTAGTTCTTGTTCCTTATTGTGTTCTTTACAGCTTGATTAGCTCAGAGAACTAACTAAATGATAGTTTAGGATAATGGTCTTGCTTGGGAGTTTTTTTTATTGCTTGGAGTAGCATTTTGCTTTGACAGCATAGAGTGGCTGTATTAAGTATTCTAGGTCTTCATTGTAAACTTGATTAGCTCGTAAAATTAGCTTCACAGTACAGTTTTACTATGGTAATGTTGCTGTTATTGCAATTTAGATGGAATTAATTTACAGAATTTTGGACATGAAAGCGTTGTTTTTACTATTTTCCATCAGAGGAATCCGTCCGCGAATTAGCTTTTGGTTAAGCATATTATCCGGAATAATTACGGAGCTGGGTCTCAAAATGTGCTCAAGGCAAAACAAATATAATGGGATTAAAAACAAGTTTTTTATATGTGACATGCAGAGTGACCAGTGAACCGGGAAAACCCGAAAAAGCTGGAATTTGAAGTCACCGGGAAAATGTCATGTAAATTTAGTTGAAAAATCTGGAAAAATATACGTCGTCCTCTCTTCAAAAACAATAAGATTTCAAGATCCTTGGACTAGATTTTCAGGATAACTACAGTCACTTTGAAGAATTATTAAGAGAATTTTAGATTTTTTTTTCCAAAACAAATTTGAGCAGATTTTAGAATGAATTCTAGAGATAACACCAAGGTATTTCAGAGAATATTGTCTAGAAAGCTTTAGGAAAACCTCTAGGAGAGTTTTTACAAGATCTCAAGAGTGAAGAGGATTCCAGGATTATTGAAAAATACTATGGAACGTGAATTTTGAGGATACAATGCCAAAATAATGATGCGAAGATCTATAAGGATAGTCCTAGCATATGGGTTGGAAGCGAACCAGCCCAAGGCTGAAAGCCTCCCTAATAAAGATAAATAATAATAATAATAGTCCTAGTATAATTCCAAGCGCAAAGGAATTTCTAGAGAATTCCATGCAATTTTCAAAGGAATTTAGAGAAGAACTCCAAGATAATTCTGAGCAAAATTTGAAGACTGAAGATTTCTCGGTGGGAGAATTTCAATTGTTGGTCTGAGGTGAATTCTACGGAGAATTTCATGCATGTTTAAAAAATTGAAGAGCAAGTGAATTCTCAGAAAGAGTTTAAAATTCGAAGAAATGATGAATATTAAGATTGTTTTGGAGTGTTCTTCAGAGAATTTCTGTATTATTATAAAAAAAACAAGGGATTTCCAGAGAGAATTTCAAATTTATTTAAGAAGAATTCTGGAAAGATCTGTGTGAAAGGAAATTAATCTAAATGAAAGGCTTGAGAACTATCAAATAAAAGCCTGTAATATTTAGAGCGAAATTTTCATACACAAATTGTGAAGACTTCGAACCTGTCGCAGATCCAAATTCAAGATCCAGCAAAGTTGCTGCTGTCTTAGAAATTATTCATTTAAACTTCAGCTTAATTGCATTCAGCTTTGTGCCTAAGTAAAATAGCTAAACCGCAATAATTCCAAAGTTCCGGGAAAAAACGGGAAAATTGCAAATTAAGATTTTTTGGTCACCATGAAGATGAAGGAATTTTGATGTATGTCCCTAGGGTATAATGCGGATCCTTCCCGGACCCTTCCCGTTTTTGGCACGAGATTTCTGTCTGTTTTGCATTCTTTACCCTACCTATCATTATTTCATGAGTGCTAGAATTTCAAAAAATAGAATTCAAATCATAGGGGGCCTCGGAGTAAACAAAATATACCAGGAGCCCCAAGGGTTGTTAATACGGACCTGGAAAGTATGCAAATAAAACCAGCTTTCGATCCGAACCCATCCGACTCAGCTTGTGCTTGAGGTCAGACAATGTCAGCGTCGTAGTAGTCAATCATCTTGAATCAAAACCCATCATGCGACACATCAAATCACATGAGAATTCCATGGGAAAAAGTTATTTATTGGTCGTGCATAGGGCCACATTACTCACACCTGGATATATTCCGGGTACCATCGGGGAAGTGACCAGAATCTGATTAGAGTCAAATCTGATGGGGCGACATATCGTAGTTTATATTTATTTCCCTCTGGTGCCAGCTGACCCTGCTTATAAATTTAGAATGCAGGATATAAGTGGTTTTTCGTTTTAAAACTATTTTGGGTTTGGTTAAAGATTTAGTATTTTTAATGCTTATTTTGTCATGGCAAATTCTTGTATCAAATGGAGAATAGAGTTCGTTAAAGATAGTTTAAAAGATGTTCAATATTTTTAAAATATCGCGTCAGTCGTAGTTTACTTTGTGAAGTAAGGGGCACGGTAGCCCAAAAATGTGAAAGTTTTTTGGATTCTGAATAAGATGAAGATGAATAAATGACGTAGCATTTAAGGGTGACCAGCCATGCAGAAAAATATGCTACAAGTGAGAGAGGGACCGAAATTTGTGCTTCATGGAACGTAAACAAACTTTAAACGTTTGTTTACCTTTGACGAAGCACCAACTTTGGACCCCATCTCCCTTGAAGCGTATTTTTCTACATGGCTGGTCACCCTTAAATACTACGTCATTTATGCATCTTCGCGTAAAAGTTAAATTTAATGAAGGCATAAGCGCTTTTTCGTAGCTTTCTAGTCTCCAGGTTTCAAAGATCATCAGTCGTAGGGGGCTTATTCTTCTGTAAACGGCACCGCTGTAAAGTTTGAGTTTTAATAAATCTCAGGTCCCATCATATTAAGGAGACTTATAGTGACATCGCTTGATTATCGTGTGTTTTGTGAAGCTTAACATCGTTATCAACGTCACCGTCGCAGCCGGGCTTGAATGGTTGCAATAACAACGCGATATGAGGGGCTTGGTGGCCTTAGAGTGACCATTTTTGCTTACTGAGTAGAACATCATGCGTTTAATCTCCAATGGGATCCACATTCAAGGTTCGTTGATCGCTTTTTTGTTCTTGTGAATACATTGGAATAACAACAAATTGATCATTGATGTGTGTTGTAATAAAAGGAGCTCGTTTGCCTTGTGGTAAACGTTTTTGCTTACTGGGCAGAAGACAGTGGGTTCAATCCCAAGCTCCTTTGCGTTTAACAAAGCGAATTCCGTTGCAATCCCAACCCTCTTACCAAATATCTCAGTGATTCCTCGTGGAAGTGCAGAGGTGTTCTCGGCTTCCATCAAAGCGAGTGTCACGTCAACACATTCCTACCCATTCCTTTTTTGAACTACGCTCGAGCGCGGCCGGCGCTGGTATTGCCTAGTTTAAGATCACCAGTTTTTACATATTGATGATGAATGCTAGTCCCAAGCATCGTCTAATGGTTCTCTGTGTAATTACAGCTGATCTGTCAATAACAGAGTAGCATCCGCGGGCGGTCAATCATGCTCATCATTGATGACACGTTCATATGTTCATTTTCTAGAAAATAACATTTTTTTTTATGTAAACATAACGGTTGCTCATCTCGCATCGCGGTGACGATCTTTCCCCGTCATATTCTATGAAATTTTAAACATGTCTATTGATGGTTTCCAAGACTTAGGAAATTACGAAACGGAGTTAATGGTCTAATCTAAATATACTGGAATTGTGTTTTTTAAGCTTAAAACATAATTTACAAAACCAGAAAAAAAATTTCAACTAGAAAAGCAGGGAAATGTTAAAATGGAAATTCTGTTGCCACCCTACAATTAGTTAGGAACATAATTACAAAGGCATGCTCAGAGAATTAAAGTCAATGTCAATAATCTTCTATTGTAATTTCGAGAATCTTTCTGCTCTGTTCTAGGCAACTCTTGGGTAAGCTCAAGAGTTTCCATGACAGTAGATGCCAAAAATTCCTAATACTGTTCTATCCTTGGTTTTCTCCCATCCTAGAAATAGTGTTTGAGTAAGTTCCAGCTTAGTGGCTGTACACAAAATAAATGAAAACTTGGACATTCAAGAGTGGAGAGGGTGGTGATGTTTTTGGCGGGTCGCCAAATCTCTCAAAATTCATCAACGTGGCTTGTGAAGAGCCGCTTAATTGATCAATAATAAGAAAAAGTAAAGTAAGTGTGTAAGAGACGATTCGTAACTCAACATATAACTGAATTAACCTTCCCAATGCATTATGAAAAAAATCACACAGCTTTTCTAGGTAATTTGTTGGTCCAGTTAGTAAAATCGCTGGTAGAAATTTACGCCAAAACTGGTCCATTTTCAACATCTCAAGGTCACAAATGGCCGTTGATAGCACCTCCACCTGTATTTTTTGCTGCGCTCTAATGCCACACACGAAAAACACAAATTACCCAGCAATGCCTAATAACCTCCTATCTTCCTTCCCAAGTCACGACAGGAAGCAATCTTCACCTGCCCTCGGATTGCTCATTTTACCTAAGGTAAATTTATGGAAACGACACTTCGGTGATCGATCATTACGTTACCGAGTGCACCCACTCTGACAGCTGTCATTTCACATCCGATCTCTGCTTTCCGCGCGAGAAACAACAACTCGTTTGCATAATGATAGAGAACCAGGAATCTCGGTGTGGTTGGCAGCTGTCTATCAGCTTCGATGTTGCTCCTATCCCTGCCAACTAGAAGAATTGCTGTCACATCACAAACACGACATCAAATTGGTTGCTAATTATTGTAACCTCCAAAGCAACCTGTCAACTGGGTTAGAGCCGAATATCATTTACATTCCAAATTCGTTGCTCCCCCCCCCCCGTTCACAGTTGGAGCTAATGCGATGTAGACGACAGCATTAATTAATTTCTCGTGTATTTACAGTGGACCCCCGTTAATTTGAAATTCTTTAATTGGGCATCTGGTTTTTAAACGATCATTTGTTTATGTTTACATTTTGCAAATGCGACAGCGTTGGAATCGGGAAGCCTACATCAATTTAGTCTCATTAACGGGGAGCAACTGTTCGTTTTGCTTCCCCCTGGATCGGTTCTTTCACAGTTCGTTTTGGTAATGATTTGTTAATTTTTATTACAGCAAATGTTCACCTGTAATCAATACAACACTGTTTTCTGTTTCTTCTTTGGATAAATCTTCACTTGTTGGAATGCTTCAAGTTTACGGTAAAATTCTATCAGTACGGCAAAGTTTGTTTTTGTTACGCTAATATAGTTTTGGTTTTTCTTCATAAACAATTTATATTTATCTTTCCATTTAGCAGCTGAAACCAAATGTGTTCGCTGATTATGCATTAATTTGTTTAGTTTAATTTAGTTGCAATGCTAGGACTACGCTGTCATAATTGTCTTTATTTTTCTGCTAAAAAGGCATTTCAAAACTCATGCTTTTGATTAAGGATTGACTTTCTCTCGGTTGGATTCAGTTACTGGCTGGGTTGGTAGTCGAAAGCGCTGGATTCAAATTTGATTTATTCGCATATGTCTAAGTGTGAAACTGTTGCTGGGAAGTTACTGTATTAGTATAGAAATTGAATGCTTCAACAGTACAACGTCCTATTCTCTTGGCTTGTTACAAAATGTCAAAACTGTCCCACCGCTTAGAGGCATTCGTCCAGATTGAGAATGCCTTCCTCGTTGAAATCACGCAGGACATCCAACAAACGTTGCTCCGCAACCGGATTTCCGATGGCGATGTCGATCGACCCGATGCAGAGCAGAAGGGCCAGGAGTTGCGATTGGCTAAAAAGTAGAAGACTCGCATTGGTCATATGAAAATGTTCACCCCTCAAAATCATCTCACCGATACTCCAGTTCCATCTTGTTCCGACTGTAACCCAGGTCGGCCTCCACGTCGATATCCAACTTTTGGCAGTACGACTTGAGAAGGTTGTAGTACAAATCCAGCAACCGAGTGGCGTGCTGGCGTCGGATGTTGGACGGAATCGAAGAAATCAGCAACAGCGCCAAATCGTTTGTGGGTCGACTGTACGTTACCATCTGCCAGTCCAGTATGATACAGCTATCGGTTCCGTCCCCTTCGGCTCGGAACAGCAGATTGTTGCACCAGAAGTCCGTATGCGTAATCAGTCCCATCGGTTCGATCGGTTGCAGCAGGGTTTCGATCAATTCTTTGGTCTTGGCTCGAATCTTGTTGAGGGCTTTCAGTTCATTTGCGTATCCGGGCTGGGCTTCAAGGAACTTGGTCAACTGAGGCATCCCTTGTTCGACCAGCTGCTGGTAGCTCTCGGTGGCGCGGGTCGTTTGGAATAAAAACTGCAAGTGGTTCTGTTAGAAATATTTCGATACGGAAACCAAGTTCGTACAGATGGAGAATACCTACGGGATACTTTTCGTTGACATCGACCTTCTTTTTGAGCTTAAGCCCCAGTGAAAGTGCATGAATGGCAACGATGGCTCGGATGGCAGCCTCGGTTTGACCGACCGTGAGCCCGGACGTGAAGTTGGCACCCTAGAAGCGGTGGCAATTGCCGGTTATGATCTACGCAGATATCACTGAAAAGAGTTACCTTATATCCGAGGGAGCGCATATCTTCCAGTACCAGGATGCTTTCCGGCGGTTCCGGACTACCCTGAGAAGGGCTGATGGCCGGAGCGTACTGGGTGTAGAAGCAGGTCGGTACCGATACCAACATAATGGCGCTGTCCTCCTTGGAGACGTCCGTCTCCTGGAAAGCTAGCAGGTCGGGAAGAATCTACGGAAAGGGACGGGGAGAGTAGATTATTGGAACCATTCCAAATCACAACCAACCCAGTAGCCAATCTAGGTACTTGATGTTGATGTCCGTGCTAGAAAAAGTCATCACTCTGAATGGTTTTAAACTGTTCAGCTACTCGAATGCAAATAACAAAATCTGAGCAAATTCACGTGAAATAAATTAATTACAAATTTTACCTATCAGAATTCCGCAGAACCTTGCATAATTAATTTTTCGTTAGTGTAAGCTTATGCTGGAATTCGGCCATTTGTATATATATATTTGTATATATATTCGTTATATTCCAATAAATCATAGCACGAAAACGACTTAACGTCATTACGTATGTGACAAAGTTGTACGAAAATGGATTGCCTTTTCAGAAAATGTTCCCGATTTGCTATTCAAGTGTGTATATCACTGGAAGTCTCCTGGACTTGTCCATAAAAAAATCTTCAATTTGCAGCTCAATGGCCTCCAACAATCTTTGAAAGTTCAAACCTTTTTTCGATTTCCGCTGTTTCTGAAATAGCAATGGAGACTACGTAGTATCCCAAATTCCTCCCCAACTACTCACACTCGTGTAGAACTTGATCTCCCGCAAATCGAACTGCGCCTCCGTCACGAAGAACCTGCTGAACGGATCCTGAGGCAACAGTTTTATCACAATGTCCAAACTCTTGCGCTCCACCTTGTCCTGAACGCCCTGAAACTCGTACACCACCGATACCGACAGGATGTCGCTCAGGTTGTTCACCCCATCTTGGCAGCCCTGTTTCACCTTGAAGTCCTGCAAAAGTACGAATTCGTTAGTCTACAAACAAAGTTCAAGCTCATTGAAAGGTAACTCACCGTAATATTAATCCCGGACCGCACCTCGTGGTGCTTCTTCAGCACCTCGATCAACCAATCCTCGTTGATGGGCCAGCTTTCCGAACATGCCGAATCCTCTTCCGTATCGGACATTCCGACCGCTTGTACGGAATGTGTGCACTGAGCTCGAACGTCCGCTTCGATCTGAAATCGCAACAACCAGATTCGATTAATGAAAGAGCATAAGAAAAAAGACTGACGAGTGCTGTGTGTGCGTGACCATCATCCAATGGTGCGTGTTCCGTTCGGTGTAAAATGTTACGGTTCAGTGGCTTCGATAATGCCACGATCCGCCCCCGCCCTGTGATCAGCTTTCTTCGGCGGGCGACTCCAGTGCGTCACCTTTCCGACGCTTGCTGCATTTCAAAGTCTGCTGCGAGTGCTATTTTTGGAATTACCGTTTTAGATTTGTTAGAAAATTGCCTATTAATAGCTTTTCCAACGACGGCATTCGTGACGGCCTGGAAAAGTCACATTTTCTTCGAAAAATGGCCCTTGAATGGATCATGGAACGAAAATCGAACCCGACGATGTTAAGGTTCATTAAAGGTTAATTCGTTCGAGCAGGCTTTTTTTCCTCGCCTGGAAGGTAGGCAATGGAGGTAGCACTAAAAATAACATACAGCAGCGTTTCGCAATCTATGCCTTAGGTGGGTCGCAGCAATTAATGTGAGTCATTTTAGCATTTTAAAGCTATTTTGATAATTATGAGCTAGCATTTTTGGTGTTTCGACGTTTTCAAGATTGTTTCAAAAACCATTTCAGCGTTTTGAGGCCAAATTTGGGATTTTAGGCCCTTTTGAGCATATTAAAGGTCTTTATGTATTTGCAACTTTACCCGGAATCGTTGTTTTTACCATTGCATCATTTTGAGGTGCTTTTCAATTTAGGTTTTTTTTTATATAATATTATTGAATAATTTGACATTTTGATACTACCCATACATTGATGACTCAGTTTTACAGATCGTTTTCATACATTTTCATAGGCCTGATTTGACGTTTTTAGGAAATTTAGTTTAACATTTTATTTGTTATTTTGACGTTTTCAAACCATTTCAATGCCATTCTGTTATTGACTTTCAGACAATCATGCAGTTTTAAGCCTTTTTTCAGGGCATTTTGAAGCCATCTTAAGTCATTTTGGCCTTATATAAGCTTATGGAATTTCTCAAAGTGGGTCGTAATCGACAAAAGTTCGAGAACCGCTGACATAGAGTGCATCCATCACCATTCACGCTGACGACGACGACGACGACCGGCTATGGCGTTCAACAGTGCGAGACGAAGAAAAACGGGTAAATTTAGGTCTCTCCTGGCTTGGATAAGGGGGGGGGGGGGCATCAACTGAATAGACACACGAGCTTTTCAATCAAGCAAACCGATGAATAATTTATCAATTTTTGGTGGTTTTGTTTATCGTCATCATCATCATCATCATCATCCCTCGGTGCGGTTTGGTTTTCCGCCGGTCCTATGTTGCCCCGATTTTTCCTGATGGATCTATTGGACTAATAATAGATACGACGATGATGATACAGCGAAGGACTGCTGTCATAGGTACCTAACCGCAAAGTAGTTTTTTCCCCGGATGATGGTGAACCCTCAATAGATTAGCCATATATTGGGTACCCTCCATACATCATGATAAATTAGGGTAATATTCGACCTGTGCCATTTTGGAGTTCGCAGTCTGCTGTTGTTGTTGTTGTTTTTTTGTTTTATTGTACGTTACATGAACAACGCATATGTTGAATGATAACGATGCAGCATTGAAATGAGAATTTGTGATAAATGCTGCTAGTGTATGGGTTCTGTTGGCATGGAAAGATTGCAGCCACTTATAGGTTTAGCTTTCGATTTGAATCGTTTGAACCTTAGGTTGATTGAATCTTTGGAATTCGTGAAACATAACAAACTTGCATTGTGTGACAAGTTCAATAATACTTTATGCCCAGGGAAGTCGAGACATTTTCCAACCCGAAAAATTTCTAGACCGGACCGGGAATCGAACCCAGCCACCTACTGCATGTCTTTATAGGCTGAGCTATGGGGGACCCAAATTTGATGGTCTCCTTAATAAAGAAACAACAACAACCTCATCCATCGACATTTATCAACGATAGAAGCACAGGCTCTTTCCAGTGCTACCAACTACGAGTGAACAGCCAAAACTGGTTTGGTTTACGCTACCCATCGCTAGATGTCGATGCAGTACCCGTCATTCTTTTGTATCCAATGATTTCAATCGTTGATTTCTCGCGAATAAAAGCTTACTCTCACCCACAAATTATACCAACTGCTACAGAAATCATTTCTTTACCTGATTGTGTTGTTAGTTTGTGAGTGTGAGTTTTTATTCATCAGTTGAAGTCAGTGTTGGGAAAATTTCACAAAATCTCGTAAACCAAAATCGACAAGCAAGCAACTGCGGATGATATTACAAGCTGTTTCATCGTAGCTACGAATATCAAGCTCACAAAACTCGCCAACTACAATTCTAACCCAACCGTGGTGAGTTTGAGTTTCATGATGTTTGCATTACATCCGAACGCGACCCGAAACTACCGTCACTGCAGGCAGCAGTAGCTTCGTGTCTGTCATCGGTGAAGAGTAAAGAGAGAAAGCAAACTGCTTTATCTCTCTATCTCTCTCTCTCTCTCTAGGAAAACGATATGCAACGGAATCATTTTTGTGTCGGGTCAACTCTTAGCTTCATTTTTGCATGTTGTGAATAGTCTCGCAACATCAAAGGAGCTTGTAAAATCAAAATCAAGCATGATAGGGTAGAGAACTACTTTGGGCCTATCGAGCAGAAAACTTCAAATAAATCCATGATTTCAGAGTTAACAAGTCAATTATGCGTTTGCTACGATACTTTAGTTAATAAGCTACCGAACGAAGTCAATGAGAACGCGTGGTATGAAGGTTTGCACCCATTTTTCCCAAAAACAAAAGAAGCGCTCCGATTGAATCGATTTTTATCTTCATCTGATAGGCCGAAGTGAATTCATTGTCGTTTCAATGCGTTAGGCCGAGTTTAAAATCCTTAGGCCGAGTTTGGCGTCAAGAAGCAGTGTTGGACTTTTGACAATATCTCAACGATTGCTTTCTCGTTTTCAAATCTTACGTTACGTACGGAAAGGTAAATAAATTTGGAGCCATCAGTAATAATAACATTCCGTTTGGTGCTAAACTGAACTAGATTAAGAAAGACTAAGTGCGGGTTATGCTTAATAGGCCGGAAATGGGGTAGTATATCCTATTTTGTTCCAATATCACGTGTGATATTGAGAGCGTAAACATATTATTCGATTAATGATTTTACCAACATTGTTTAAAGTGATTGTTACCCAAGCAGTTTCGCTCTATTGTGAAAAGAATGAAACTCCATTAGGTGGGCGATTCTCCTACCAGATTGCAAATTTAGGTTATAGAGTTGTAAAACGATTGTTAAATGCAAGAGACACGCAAAACAATTATCTGCCGAGCTGTTACTCAAAGTATGTATCCAGGAATTTGGAAGAACGCGCATCTCGTTGTATCATTATTCTGAACAAATTGCACATGTGAGCAACTCTTCTCGAACATGAAATAGCATAGCATGGTATAGTATAAACCAGCTTGCACAATGTCGTAGGTGGTACGAGCTCTAAACTGTTGTTAAGGAGGAGACCCACCTTCATCCGTTGCTGTTAGATAGTAATTTGTGGTTAACCACTACCTCTTAGATACAGGATGAGTCTCCCTTCAACAGACTAGAGCTGTCCTGGCCACGTCCTTGCATCTGGTGAGGATCGGAGCGGAATATTAGTCCGACACTTACTTAAGAGAGATGCAGAGAACTCTACGACCCCTAATAAGTGTCACGGGAAGGGTGGAATTTCATTAGTAGGGAGGGAAAGCCATAGGATACGCCCAGCCGGCGTTGCTGGCAACTCTTCTCGAACATGAAATACCTAAAAAATATAAAACGAGAAACTGATTCAATGATGATTGCTTGGAAAACTATACTTCCTATAATCGCATATTAGTCCCATATGGATGTTCGTCAATCTTAAGATAACAACGTTATCCACTATCAATTGGCATCTACTAACATATTACGTGATCAAACTACGGACTTTGATCATGAAAAATGTGAAAACAACATCAAGTCAGTTTGTGCCATTAAGCAAAGAAATCGCATATCAATCCCATCCTGAAATTCGATCGTCCAGAGGTCATGTTACAGTTCTGAATTTGATAGATTTATCAAAATTTTACTCCTATTATTGACACTAGAGAGCAGTGTTGAGAAACTATAATAAAATCAAATCTCAATCTCTCCGCTGATCAGGCTTGATTTTCGTGGACAAACATTATCAAACAAACAACAGCGGATGATATTATAAGCTGTGTGCTACGATTATCACCAAACTGTGGTGAGTTTGAGTTTCATGATTTTTGCTTTACACCCAAACGCGACCCGAACCTTCCATCACCACTGGCAGCAGTAACTTCGTGCCCTGCATGGATGAAGAATGAAAAGAGATAGCAAACTTTTCTGTCTCTTTCTAAAATAAACTCTCAGCTGCAATTTCACATGTCTCGCAGTATCAAACATAATATTTTGTTACTATATCACGCGTGGTATTGAGAGCGTATGAGAGCAAACAAATATCGTTTTGCAAATGATTTTTCCATCACTGGTATAGAGACAGATTATTCGAAGGTATCCAAATTTCGAAAAAAGGGCCCTTCCCAAGTAACATTGCAAGTTTTATCATAGTTTTAAAGCAGTCTACAAGTCTTAATCATGGTCTTCTGAACCCCCATAAAATCCAAATTGTTACTTTGGTTTTTCATATTGGGCGGGTTTTGTTGTTTTTCAAGATTTTGACCGGAAATTTTCTCCACCTATCTAGGGTAAATGTCGGATTCGGCAGTCAAAATTGAAACGTTAATTTCACTGAATGTTTTCACCCAAACACTTCGCTTAATGTATTCAAACGAATCTTTAGTCTTTACAGCTTCAATCTACTTGCTTTTTTACGACTGAACAAACGCGTTTCTTCAGTTTTGACGTAGGACTACGTCTGTGATTTCAATATGGGGGTACACTTTGTGCAAACCGAAAATGGAACATGTAACAAAATTATGAAT